GAGAAATATATTCTGCAGGGGATTTTATAGTTTTGGAGAAATAAACTTAGTTGGGGAAGAAAATTCCTATGAACTATGCTGATGACATAATCTTTAATGTGGATTGGGATTCTGTAGGTTGGCGATATTGTCGGGGAAAAGATCATACTCCCTTATCCGCTAGAGGATTTTCTGGGGAATATGATTAGGTTAGTTGCTGGAAGATATCCCAATTCCTATCTTAAGGCACTTTAGACTTGCGGGGAACGTATCTTTGTCGGGAATGAGCTTGTGAAGGTAGCTCTGTGGGGATTTTTCTGTGAAGATTTGTGGATGACTTGGGCGGTATCCCAACTCCTAGAGTCTTGAGTAAATGTTTATTCTTGTTTTTATGCATATATTTGCTAACAATAATCATATTCATATGCATATGTTCATTCAATTTAGTCATTGGACGTTTTTGCAAACAAAATAGAAAAAGTAAAACAAAAATTTAGATTTTGAAGTGGTATTTGTATTGATAATTTTCCTATAAACAGACGGTTTTGTACAAAGAGACATAAATCCTAGTAAGAGGATATTTTCGTAAAATGAAAAGAGTACAAAGTAAAAACAAAATATATAGCTATGTCGAAATAATCTTGTCAAGTTTCAACTCTGATATTGCCCATATGTCTTCGAGCATCTCATCCCTTGTTGTCAGAAGAAGTTGATTGAATTGGAAAAAAAGAAGATATTTAAGTCCTAAGCCTAAAACTTCAAGTTCCATATTACAAGTAATTTGGCATCATAGCCTTTTAAGTACACATTCTTGTAAGCTTCACGATATTGGTTTCGGATTCACCATTGTTCTTCAAGGTCTCATCCTTTATGTCAAGTCAAGATCATTCAACAACACACGAAAAAAGAAAAGAAAGAAACATGGTTAGTAAGATAATCAAAATATGAGCAAAGAAGGAATTTTCAAGAAAGAGTTTTACAATCTCATCATTATGGTTTGTTACAAGGAATCAGAAGTGGAGGGTTTGAATTTAATCATCCAACAAAAAGGTCTCATTCTTTTTTCTCACACAATAATCAAAATTTTAGTATTAATCATAGGCACACAACTCCCATTACAAATCACAAAAAAGGCACTTGTTTTTTGTTCACAAAAGGAGGTACAAACAGAAACATTTCAGTAAGCTCAGAACTTCATCATAGCAAGCAAGTTTTCACAAAAAGGAAGAGTCAAAATCGCAACAGCCCAACAAGCAAATTGTTGCAGCAAACAAATTCATTAAGCCTCATACATTTGTTTCATAGTAAATCAGATTTCAATTTAATCGTGGGCCTAATTCTATCTTTTGCAAATCACAAGCAAAGTTGGTTCACAAAAGACAAAATCAAAGGAGGTCCAAAGCAGAATTGCAAACTCAGTAAAGCCCAACATTACATTCACAGCATAACAATCTCAGCCAAAAAAAAGGCAGCAAAGCATCGTAGTAAAAAAAGAAACAAGTCAGGAATCACATCTTCAGCCCAAATAACAAAACAGAATCACAAAATCAAAGCCCAGGGAAATTCGCAAGGAATCCTGTAAAAGATCAACTCATAGTCCCAATATCACAGTAAAACAGAATTCTCTAACAGTATAAAGCCAATCAACTGCATTCAAAATAAGGACAGTTAAAAAATTAGAAAAAAAATTGTGCGCCTCACCATCACAATGAAAACCAAAAATTGATTTTGATCATCATTTTTCGAAAACGAAAACCCTTCAGAAGTTCTTTGTTTTCAGAAATCACAGATTCGGATTACAGAGAAAGAAGAAGATACAAGAATCAGAAAGATCTCATCCGAAAGCGATCGAACACCATTGTGCAACCACCTCTGTTTCGCCGGAAAACACTGTCAATCTCACTCCTCTGCCGTCCTTCTCCTTTCTCGCTCCACCCTTAATTCCTTATTTTTGAACTGAATATTATGGTTTTGAACAAAAAAATTTAGAAAACCATTTTAAAGATATTGCAAGTGGTTCCGGTGTTACTTGTCCTCATCGGAGAAGATGATAATTATAATTGATTTTGTGCCTTCATATATACTGAATTATCATGGGGCTATAGATTTTGACCTCCTGATATATTTACTATACTGGAGTTGACTAGATCAAATGGCTACAATTAATCTGTTCTAATTTCTTTTACTATTATTTGTTAATTCACTTTAAAATTTCAAAAATTCATAATAAATTAATTTTTCGTCCAAAAATTCTGAAAAGATTCACAAAATTCATTTATCTCATTTCTGACTTAGTGTATTTTTTTTAGAATTTAATTTCGATTGTTGCTATTTTTAATTATTTTTCACTTATTTAAGTGGTTTTAATTGGCTTAAAAATACTTTTCTGTTTTCAAAAATTATCAAAAAATTTGTAAAAATATTTGAGATCATTTCTGACTTTTATATGGTATGTTTTAATTTTTCTTTGATATTTTGAATATAGTTTGTTATTTTGCCTTTAATTTGCATTTAAAAACAATTTAAAAATCAATTTTCTCATTCTATTTTGATAGTTAAATGTAATTTTATTTTTTGTATATATTCTAGCTGATCTTGAACTATGTGAAATTTTAATCATGAGCTTTATTAACATCATTGGATCTAGGGTGTTGAGTTTAACTCCACAAAATGGATGAATAATTTTAATAATAGCTTGATTAAATTCTTTGATTCAAATGTGGAATTTAATTCTCGTTCATCTTCTCCCTTTTTTTTATTCTTGCATTGTACTATATGTTATTAGAGGATGATCTACATATCATCTCTCTAAACATATGACACATAGATTGCTATTGACTGACCTCAAAATATGTTTAACATAGCGCTAAATTTTGTCCTAATTCGAGAAATGATCATTCGTGACCCAAACTTATGTTTACAAGCCCAAATATGTTTAATTTGAAACCTTTGGATCTAATAACCTTGAGGTTCATTGTTAGGAGGTTTTGGTCTTATCAATCCTCTAATGAATCTTCATAAATTTTAGACTAAGTGAATCATTTAAACATCATTGATCATTTGTTATTGCTTTGAGATTTTGAAATGAATGATATACTTGACAAAAAGCAAATGAAACTTGTTGTTGAGAGACTTTGATTTTATCAATCTTCTAATGAGTTTTCAAATGTAAGTTTCAAGATGGTCATTCAACTAACCTCTCGGACTCATTAACAATTGACTTTTATTTTTATGTTTTTACTTTATGCTTTTACTTTAAGCACTATTTATCTTAGCATTTTCATTTCATGTTATTTTTCATCTTTGCTCACTTGAGCATTTATCTTTATGTCATTTTATTTTGCTCACTTGAACTTTTCATTTTCTTTTTGAAGATACTTAATAACCAACTTGAACAATAAAAAACTTTAATGTTACTTGGACTATTTGGTTACTATCATTGACATTTTAGAGTTATGACCTTCTTGGACTTAAGAGTAGAGATCTTGACCACCCTTGAGACCTTGTGACTTATATTGTTGTTTTATCTAGAGTTTTTGGGGTCTACCCCCAAGATATTGGGTTGTTTGTTTCTTTGTATGAAGGTGTATACAGTTATTATCCTTTCTTGCTTGGTTTCAAATTCAAAGAATGGAAATTCTGCTTTCCCTAACTTTTATCTTATGCTTTAGGATAGTTCCTTCATTTCCTTCAATCTTCTTTAATTTCAAAAATCTTTTTTCTCCTTTTCAAAATTATTCTTGTTTTTTTAAACTTAAACTATTTTCACAATAAACTTGTACTTAGATCCATGCATTTTCAAATATTTTCTTAATCCAACTTTAAACAACTTAATGATACTTTGACTTTTTTTTGTGAGAAAGTCAATCAATCTCATTCTAACCATTTTGCCATTTTGACTTGTTACGTTAAAAAATTTCTCAAAAAGATTAGACTCTTGTTAATCTTTGTAGTGATTTTTCACTTGTTGAGCGAGATTTTGTTGATTTTAAAATCCAAGTCATATCCTCCACTTTGAGATGACGCAAATTCTCATTTCTCATAATTGTGAGTAGTGTGTTTTCCACTCGGATATGACGATGATGTCCCGTCTCTTAAAATTAACAAACACATTTGTGTTTTAAAATTTTTAAAAGTGAACTACGAGTACCCTAATCCCCTATTATACGGAAGATGATACGTAGGCACTAAAGATTCACAACGAAGACGGGTGCAAAAATTATAAAAAAATATTTCTTTTTCCATCTCCACCATCTATTTTATATATAACAGTTATAACCAAAAATACACAAATTTTCAAAGAAATTCTTGCGGAGTACCATAGATATTTAAGATGTTAATTTCTTCCCTTTGCATAACCAACCTCCGCATAACCAACCCCCAAATTTAGATTATCTCCCTCTCTTTTTTGAGTTATTCGCTCGGTTCCCATTCCTTTTGAAATAAAAAAGCGAGATGGAGATTTTTATTTGATGTGTGCAAATTAAGTCAATCTAATGGCATAATCTCAATATTTCTACCGCTACACACCCCTATGTTACTTTCTTCAATAAAGAGCCGTTGTTCCATAGTTCAACCAATTTTTGTTTTCTACATTTTATTAGTTTATTATTTTTGATATTTTCATATTTATTTATTTGTTACATTCAACCACCGCTTAAACTACAACCAAAAAAAAAAAAACTTAAAAGTGTGTATAGTACCATCTCCGGTTCCATATGTTAACACATTAAAAATTAAATCCGGCTAAAATGAGAGGATTATGAATCACCCTCGTGCTATAAACATGTAACAAATCACATAATAATGAAAGGAAAAAGAAAAATGATGACACTACAAAACTTTACCTCATTTAGCAATGGTTGACTGTTTGTTCAGGCAGTGCACATGTGGTGAAAGGGAAGGGGCAAGTTACCCCATATAATTAGATAGGAAACAATTAATTTTTATAGAAAACAAATTAGTTAAAAAGGAAACGTTTTCAACCCATCATCTCAGCATGCCACTATTTTACACTTATCTCAAAATCTGAAATCTGGGTCCACGTCCATTGCCCAAGCAAATTTTGCCAGCAGAGATTTTGTGAAAAGCTGAAATTTCAGGTAATTTAGAGGCACGGATAAGTAACAAACTCTAACTCAGACTACCAAAAAAATGCAGTCAATTAAGTATAATATCAGATTGACAACACATGAGCAAGAATGTCTATAGTAACTGAGATAAATATTATCAATCATCAAAAGACCTATGCTATGAACCGAGGATCAAAACATACTATGAATCAGAAGATACAGAATTCAAAAAAAATGACATTTGTGTTAAAAACAAGTGATATAATTTGTGACTCATCAGAATGAATCAAAATTGATCATTAAGAATTGAGATTCATGCTGCAATTCAGGTCCAAAACAGGTATGATTCCTATCGGTTGGGTTCAGTTTTGTTTCAAATTGAGATATAATTTGATTGTAAAATACTGATAACTTTATTAGAAAAGAATAAGTAAAGCTGAACAAGTGAAGAAGCTAGCACCTTCTCAATGGGAACCTCGTGCCGCTTGCACCAGGCAACTGTGATCCTGGGGTCGAGATAGTTTATCTTGGATGTGCCCAATGCTACAGTTTTAAGATCTTCTTTTGTCTTCATATCACGTTGCATTTTCTGAATTTTTGCATTGGTTTGAGATATCTTTTTCTCTAGCCTGTACATTGCATAAACCACAATCTTGTATCATATTCAACTAACCAATGGCTAAAGATGTTGAGAAAGCTAAATTACACTTCGGGAGTTAAGCTTCGTTTGCTTTTTCCATCTGAACTCTTTGTAGGGGACTTTCCTTTTCTTGCCCTGTCCAAATCTACTTTCAGCTCCTTCAGAACATCCTGCATGTAAATATTGAGGCAGCTCCAATTATGTGTTCATGGCCAACAAAAGCCAAATCTATTTTAATTTAAACATATTGATTAAGAAATATCATTCAGTCCAGGTTCACAATTTCATATTATTCATATCACCTGAAGTTCATCAATTTTCTCATTTAGTTTTGTCATTTGTGCACTGTGAGATTTTGAAACACTCCGTTGATGATTACAGATGATTGCAACCTGTTACGGAAGAGACAACATGTTACAACATATATGTGAGCAATTTAAATCAAAATACTCTACCAATATTTTCATCTCAATTCACCTGTTTATTTGCATGCTGATAAACAACAATCTTTTCTGCAGCATCTCCATCTTTAGTGTCTTTATTCAACTGTTGTTACACAACTCAAGGAAAATTAAATATATATATAAGTCGAATATAGAACCTAATAAAAGAAATCATCGCATGACAAGCTATAGGTTGGGCCTTGAGAAGCATGGATGGTAGGTGATCTGGGTATTTTGATCCAAGATGGAAATGAAGGTTGAAAAAACTGTGCAGAGTGAGTTTAAGAGGATTTTGATCAAAGGCCTGTTTCAGGAAATATCAAGTCTAATGAAAGAATGTATGCTATCTTAACCAGCTTTCTATATCATTTCAATCAGTTTGTACATCATTAACAGCATATAGTCATCTACTAAAGGTATTTAAAAACATAACTAAATAGAATTAGTTAATAGTTTTTTTAATCCTTCCCCAAGGAATGAGAATTTAAGGATTTTCATTTAAACCTATTTTTACCTTATCATCCAGTGTGATAGATGCATTGAATGTACGGAAAACTTTTGCCGTTAAGCCAGGCATGAGTTCCTTCAGATGAGCATTCAATTTATTTGTATCCAGCTTATCAAAGAGATCAGTACCAGAGCCTTTACCTGAAAAGAGAAAAAAGCACTTAGGGTAGGGCTCGACTCTCAAACTACAAACATATTAAAAAGAACTAGTTTCCAACCTTTTTGGAACTCCAAAATTGCATTATAAACAGGAAGCTCAACCTCAACTGTATTTTCATACTTGATTGAATCTTTACCAAGGAAGTTAAACTGCATTGGAACAGATAATGAACAACATCACTTGGAAGAATAATTGGTACTGGAACAGAACAGATATCATTAGTCACAACTCCACTTGGAAAAAAACGCCCCCAAAGGATCTTAAATTAATCAAACCCAACCAGAAAAACAAAAGTGAAAATATTTTAAACTTTTAAACTCCAATACCTTCAATTTGTTGGGGGTTTCTCTTGTCACATTCTCAACTTTTAATGTGCAGCAGCCAACAGTATCAGCTTCATCATCGTCCTAAGCAAATGCAATTAATCAACGACTAAACTTAAATAGCAGAAATCAAGATAATAATCATCTGATAATGAGGGCACTAAACACGCTAGGAAAGCTTATAATAAATTCAAAGAATAGAACAATTTTGTTGATGTATGGGATAGACAGTGGCTACACCATCACATATTCTATACTTAATAAAGCTCAATATTACAAACCTATTTTAAAAGCTGACTTTTACAGGGAATAGTTGCAGCCATGAACAAACAACACCTATTTCAATTATGCAAACCTATGCATTTGTGTCTTTGGCCTCTTGTATTGTATGTAATTTTATGTTTTAGTGAAGCAAACAACTTGCAGCTAGCACATAAAAGATTTAGCAAGTGTGTATATAGACATGATACCTTCTCATTACCAGCCCTCAGAGCCAGTTTATCAATGAGATAAGTAGCAACAGCTATCTGCTGCTTTGTAATATCCTTACTCGTAAAATCTTTTGTGTATGAAGCCCTGATGTTCCCTATATAATCCTGCACCATGATATTAATAACTATGGCAATACACAAGTTCTTTTAAATGCAAACCAAAAATATTGGAAGACAGATATGGTTTTTGACCAAAGCTAACAAAGAAAGCATGAAAGCACCTTCAACATCCTAGCCTTCTCATACTTTTCCTTGTCACTTTGACCCTTCAAGGAACTACTAGCTGCCAGAAACACATACTTGAATAGCTTTGGACTAATTGGGTCACTCCAATAGCATAACCATGTAACTGTATTGTCATTTCTTATATCCTTCCATCTGCCAAGGTTACAAAACTCGTCATACCCACCAAACAAAAAAAAGCTTTAAACATGGCGGTATATACATTATTCTTTTGTATTTTAAAATTTACTGTGCAAAAAGAGCAGGTAGAATAACACCTTTCACCAGGAATAGGACATTCAGGAACCGGTGCATCACTTCCAATATTAATTACAATGTCACTTGGATGAATGCGTGCTTTTAATCTTCCCATCTATTAACATAAATTTCCACCAATCAGTAAGTCATGAGTAATAAGTAAATGCTATATAAAGTTTAGAGGCCAGTCAAAAATCTTAAGATGAAATCGTTATATCTAGAAAACTACATGTATCTAGTTCTAGAAACAACTAGCATAATAATAACCTTGGGATGCTCTCCTCGGCCACGGAACAATCCAGGAGGTTCAACTCTGAAATTTCCAACCTAAAGTGCAGATTTAATAAAAAATAATTAGTCATAAGATAAAATTTTACTTTATGAATAAATTTGACATCAGAAAGTTGCAATATGAAATACATATAAAAACTCAACAGGGAAAGGTCACACAAATAAATAGATAGGAGAAGAAAATGTGCAACTTCACCGGTGCATAACTCCCTCAAAAGCAACTCTTTTCTGAACACTGTTAAAAAATCTTTGAAAAGAATAATGTAGTCATTCCTTACTACAATGCCACAGATTCGGAAAAATGAAAGATAATACTACGGCCAAAGATAAAATCATATCCACAAGAAATATTAAGAATAAAGTTAAATCAAGCAAAGGTCATATAACTCTTTTCCCCTTACAAAACATAATGATCAATTACAGGTCATAAAAGTTGTAGAACAATTAGGAGAAATAAGAGGAAACAAGAGAGCAATATTTAACCTTCTCTTTAACACCGTCAACAATAGCCCACGTGTATTTCTCCTCTTGCTTCAATTTTTCTTCCTTCAGAGCTTTCTTCTCCTACATAAAGGGTTAAGACAGAGTCAACAATTTAAAAATAGATGACATGAATTATGGAAGTTTCAACTGGTACAAGGGAAGAAGATAAGAATTCTCAATAGAATTCAGAGTATGCAATAAACTGGCTGATTCGAGAAAGCTATTCTCCAACTACAACTGAGTTCAAAAACTAACTCTCCCTTCCCTCCAATTACTATTTATAATTCTGTTTTACTAACAGAATTAGTTATTCATCTGTTACAACTGTAACTACCAAGTATAATTCTGTTTTACTAACTGAAAAGTTACTCGGTTGTTACAACTAAAATATTTTAGTTACAAGCTTAATTACCACTTTTGCCCTTCCTAACATACACCTTTCTAACAGCTGGTCTACTAACAAATTACGACCTTTCAGGTTAGCATAGTACATACATGACGCAATTCACCAACATTCTAAAAATAGGTATACAATATTACTGAATTTTACTAAAATATTCCTTTGTTGATGGAAAATTGATCAGCATCAGCCTCAAGTAATTACAAATAACAACTCTCTAAATGATGGACAAGGAAAAAAGATAGACACATAACAATTCTCTGAAAAATTGAAAAGAAATGCAAATAAAGAAAAATACTGCAGCTTCTCTACTCAAGTGTTTGGAATCCCCCTTCACGCCTCAAAATAAAAGTTGCAAAATATATCAATTCCTATTATTGAGAAATTAAATTGCGTAAAAGTCAACTTACTTCCGTAGTCATTTGTTTCTTCTTTTCCTTTTCACTTTGGCACCAGTCATAGATTGGGGTAAAGTCACAATCTTTCAAGCTTTGAATTACATGATTTTTTCCTAGCAACTTTTGCCAATCATTCCAGAAATTTTCCTTGAACCTATCTTTTTGCATGTAATCTGTATCACGCATAACCGCATACATTGTAGCAACCTGAAAAACATATTTGAAGCCCATAATACAGTCAAAACCTCGGAGGAGACATTAGAATTTGAGAAAGTTTTACATAAAAGTACTTAAGAATTTGAGATTCATAAAAATAAAAAAATAAAAAAGGAAAAAGAACCCAAAATCTAAAGAGCACAGTTTTGAGATGCTAAACCCCACCTCCTCTTGGTCAGGTGTCAAATCAACAGGCCTCCCCATATAAAGCATTTTTACCCCATGGGGTTTGTAAGGAGGAGGGAAAATGACACCATTATGAACCAACGTAGTCCATTTTTTCTGCCCATCACCAGAGCTAGGAAGAAGTTTTGATGATTTGGAATATTCTGAGGCAGTGCCGGATTTTTTTGACTTGTTCTTGGTCTGTTTGTTCTTGATCTGTTTCTTAAAAGATGTTGAACCAGACTTATTAACTTTAGTAACCTTTGCCAGTATCTTGTTTGTGGAAGATGGTTTAACAGCTAGTGTTGGTGACTTGTTAATTCTATGGGAAATAGGAAGATCATCATCATCATCATCATCATCATCATCATCATCATCATCATCATCTTCCTCCTCAGCTTTAACTTCACACTTAACAGAGAGTTGTTTAGTTTTGATTGAAGTTGTTGAATCTGAGATCTTTGACTTTTTAGCCGAAGAATCCGGGGAATCACAATTTTCGAGTTCTCTCTTAACTGGTAGAGCAGATGGCTTTTGCTGTTTATTACTTGTGCTAGATCCATTTTGCCGCTCTTTCTGAAATTTTGAAATAGGCTTATCATCATCATCTGAATCTGAGTCATGAGAATATTTCTTGATAACAGGAGCGACTATGCTACCATGATTAGATTTAATCTTACACGTAGAACTCAATGGTTTATTATCATCGTCATCCTCAAAATCTTCACAATAACCTTTTGTTTGTTTCTTAACATCAAGAAGAGGCTTTGCTACGGGTGACTTGTTAGAGGAGGTGTTGACAGGCTTGGAATTTTGGCCATTTGAGGAAGGCACGTCAGTTATCTGTCTATAAGTGGTTTTCTTTACTTGAGAATGCAATGGATTCTTGATGGCGTATCTTTCAAAAGATAACGGTTGATCATCTTCATCATCGCTGTAATCCTCAAATTTTTTGGGCAAGTTTGGTTTATCAGAAGCGTCAACAGCCATTACTGAAGAAGAGGGATAAAATTCTGGGTAAGAAATCATTAGATATTAAATCAATCATCAATAGCCAAAAAAACATAACTCATACCGTCCATTCCATTCTAGAACAATGGAAAGGTGCAATAAAATAACGATATTCAATTGTTTAATTTATCAACGGACTAATAAGATGAATGATATGGATAAAGCAAAAGTAATGAAATGGGCATTGAAAGAATGAAAAGAGCACTAACATATGTGTTGTCAATGGCGCCGTTTTGGCGGGAAATCTCAAAATCAAAGTACCGAGTTAACGCAGGTGAGTTTTGTTAATCCGCGGTTTCAGCAACCTGGAAGGAGATGGTTCTGAGATAGCTGAGGCAATGGAAGGACATGGTTCTGAGATAGCTGAGTCAATCGGGGTGAACAAAACTCTCTAGGGATTGTGGTTTCCGCGACATTCACCTTCAATCCTAGGGCTTCACACTACCACAATCTCCTTTCATTATTTGGGCCTACTTTCGGCAATTATATAAATATTAAAGCCCATTTTCAATTTCTGCTGCTCCCACCCATAACAGATTTTAACTTGTCACCCATCAAATTAAACCTCACACCTCCACATATTTTCTAAATCCTCCAATTCTCCCTAAACAAATTTTAGTAAATAGTATGAACGAAATTTTTGGTAGTTAAGTTAGAATTTTCGGTAAAAATTAAAATTTACGATAGTGCAATTTAATATTGTTGATATTAAATAATATCGAAAATTTTGAAATATCTGATATTTATAAAATCATATTAGTAATTTGAAATTCTCATTTTCGTACCGAAAATTTCAAGATCAATGAAATCTCTGGTAGGTTGAATTTTCAATGGCTATGATTTTACCGAGAATTTTATACGACTGTGATTACACTGACCATTTATGTGATCCTGAATGAATCCAAACTTGTATAAATAAGGTTCATCTGTTGTTGAGAAAAACATCTCAAAATGCTCTTATCTCAATTTTTTATCTACACCACCAGTATCTGGCCCATTGGACCGCCTAATCTGGTTTGGAGGTCAGTTCTGGCATCAAGTGGTTACAGCCTCCTCCCGATTGCAATTGCGGAAGATCGAATTATGGTCCTCCCTACCAATTCCAACGTCAATCACCACTAGACCAACTAACAATTGATTACCCTTTCCATAGTTTTTATTAAGGCAGAAGTATACTTCAACAGAGTGAAACCTCCTATAGAGTTTCAGCTTCCGGAAGGCACCACATCTCTCGACGCCTTGACATCCAAGTTGAATGAATTATTGCTTGATACCGATAACAGAAAGGTGAGAGAGACTGAGTTTCATGAAGATTGAATTGATACTGATGGAAGGATGAAATACAACCTTATTGAGTTGATGATCGATGCCGATTTAAAAGTTATGAGGAGAATATTTCATCGTATTATAACTAAGGGACCGATCAAGTTTGGTGCAACAATTTCAAGATTTATCGATGATATAATCAAGATGTTGAAACATTCAGAGTCATCTGGTAGTGTTTATGGTTTGTTGTTGTTTATTACAGTTAATTTATGTTATTTGTAATGTGTTAAGTTATGTTCATCTTATGAAATTATAATCGACAAAATATTATGTAATAAGAAGTACGGTGCTAAATATTCTTAATCACAAAATATATAAATAATATAGATGTCAAATAAAATATGTAAATAGCTCCCCCACGGGCTATGTGTGTTATTTGCGATAATCTGGTAAAAACATCCCCATCGGGGTTTACCAAATCCATGAGGTTATCCATGATAACAATTATCATCTGCAGACATTAATGGTCATCAACATCAGGTAGAGGTGGAGGCACATCTTGTAACACCCTATTTTCCCGACAGTAAATTAATAAAATCAAAGTAAATTAATTCATAAAATAAAACATCAAGAATAGGATGCCATATTTTACAGCATATCAAAAATCTGCTCGTGTATAATTAAACTGATACATAACATATTTTTCTGATGAACCGACAACACTTTTCAACATAGTTCTCAATTCCAACTTTATTAACGCAGTAGAAAAGAATTCAAGTTTGTCATTAAAACATCATCAACCAGCATCAAACAATATTTAATCAAATAAAAGAGAGTTTATAATACTCCAACATAATCACCAAAACAAAACAACGAAATAACAAAGTAAGCAAGCGCCCACCCCCCTGGTATTACGTATCCGAGCACTGACACCAACTCAAAAATAGGAAGGGCAACCTCTTCTAGACTCTGCAACTTCGGAGTACTCCTGATTATCTGCACATTACCAATGTAGAGGCAACATTTAAACATAATGGGTGAGATATCACAACAATATAATAAATTATATAATAATAAGTATGTGATAGATATATCATGTAAGTTTTCATTCTCAACATCATCAACCAGAAACTCACAATGATTATACAAAAACATATATAATTATCGTCATCTGTTATACAACGCATACCAATTATGCAACTCAACATCATCATTGTATCAACAACTCGACAATATGCAATTATCATCGTAATCGTAATTATTAATTATTTTCCAACCAAATCCATATTCCAACTTTGCCCTTCTTTAATTAATTAATTATTTTATTAAAAACAAAATACAATTATCATCATAATCGTAATTATTAATAATAATAATATAATATTCTCAATGCATTGTTGTTACTACGAAATTATCCATACACTTCTAACCTTAACTATTTAAAGATTTCTAAGGTACTCACCTCTCGCTAAGGCACAATGACATATACTTACGTTCAACAAGATACACCCAAAAACACAACATCGCATAATTATTTAAATTAAAATATCGAAAATAGGGTTTTACACGTCATCCTCACATTGTGCATCATAATGAACCCACATTGCACTATCTCTAATGGAACGGGCAGAACTAATGATGTTACTTTGAAAACTCTCATCAATTCCCGGAGTTGGAACATCTGGAATTGGTCATGGGATGCCCTGAACATGCCCATATTATCGCAGACACCTCTCAGGCAGGTGTCTTGCAACTAAGGTTTCCCGCCATATATGACCAAAAAATAGCAAAGCCTCATCAAACTCACGATTGACTATGTGATATGCGTAGGGTGTTCAGATGACACCCTCTACTGTTAACATATCAAGCCTCTTCATGTACTCTGCAACACCATTTGGACGTGCTTGTTTGGCCTTCCATGTTTTCTCCCGTGGGATGTAACACCCCAAAATCTAGATTAATTATTTAATTAATTTAGTATGAATATCGATGATTATTGGTGAATATATGAATTGTGGCGAATTAGTCGATGCGGTGTATTTGTATGAGTTGATAGATTTTATAATGTGATGTAATGTGATGCGATGTGTTTGTTGATGATGTGGTGTCTTAGAAATTATAGAAGCTGAGGTGTTAAGGGTGTATGACCGAAACCATAGAATCATGGAGTGTGGTGAGAAGACAAGTAATCATTTTATTATTATTATTATTATTATTATTATTATTATTATTATTATTATTATTATTATTATTATTATTATTATTATTATTATAGATACAAGTTATTTATAATATTAGTCATTAAATAATTAATTAGAAATAAGGAAGGACAATATGGGGGTATTGACATTAGGGGTCTAAAGAGATAGAGAGAATCATTATTCTCAATCAATCATAGAAACCACAGAAGAGGAAAAAAAAGTGCTTTTGGGAGAAGAGGAGAAGAGGAAGAACCTAGGGCTAAAGGGAAGACTCCATTGGAGAAGGGAAGAGAACCCAAAACCTAAGGTAAAGATGGGGTTCTAACTTTATAAGGGCTTGTATGATGATGGATTATGGTAAATATAGTTTATTTAATTATATGTTCATCTTTGTGAGAATTGGGTGTTTTATGTGATTTATCTATGTGACAATTGTTAATGATGAATTGGTGTGAAATTCTTGCATTTGATGTTGTATAAATGAAGTTGATTGATGGTTGATGTTTGGGTGTAATTGCTATAACAATGATTTTTGATTTGGATGAAAGAATCACTTAATTTAAGTGCTTAATTATGTTTTTGTATGAATTAAAATGGTTGGTATTGAGGTATGAATATGGGAAGTTCAATTATAAACATTAACAGTATAATAGGTGGAAATTAGATATGTTTATCGGACAAATAAGTGATTTTCGTAACATAAAAATCTGGTTTTTTTATTCTGGAATAGTGGGAATCGACTACCATATATGGGTACCCGGTTACCACTCGAAAAATAGCATTTTTGGCCGTTTTGACAGGGGGTAACCGGTTACCATATATGGGTACCCGGGTACCCTACTAAAACTAGCAGATTTTTAAAAATCTTTGAAAATTCATAAATTTTGACTCGAGTGTCTATTTGATGCGTCGTTCGAATCTACGGAAAGCTAAAAATATTTTCTACTTAATAAAAATAATTTGAAAACAATATGAGATGATTTTATGGATTTTGTTTTGTTCCAATGTTGTGTTATGATTGCGAAGTTGTGAATATCACGATGAAATTGAAGAGATTTAATGATGTAGTGATGTGTGACAATGTATGAATAATGATGCGTGATTAGAGAGCTGTACTGGATTGTTTTATTGATGTGTGATGTGTCATTGCATATGTTATTGTAGCATAATAGTATTACATTCATGTTCATAAGTGACGATGTGGCATGTAATTGGCGAAATTGTCATGAGTAAGAATGATAAATGCGAGGTATGTTATTGTATGATAGTGTCTCATACATTCATAAAGTGAAGGCCTATATTGGTGAGCGAAAGCCTGCATTGGAGAGCAAAGTTAATTTCCCTAAATTGGCATTATTGCAAAGAGGGTTTTACCCTGTTGGTACCACATGCATATAATTAGTGAAGTTGGTCTCATTTCATTTATGATGTATTTCGTGAATAATATGTGATTTGTTGATTGTTGGATATGATTGTTGAAATTGTGGCATGTATTGGTGTTAGTGCATGAAG